ACAGAGCTCGGACGGACTACATTTCGCAACGAAACTTTGGAATATTACTAATTTTGTGATGCTCTTTCAAGCTGTGATGAAATTTTTGCAATGAAATTAGACTAGCAGAAGTCTATCTTGAGTCAGTAATGAATGAAAATTATCTTGAATGGAAATTTCAAATTTTCGTAATGGCTAATTTCCTTCACGACATTTTGGCGACATTATTGGCGATATAAAATTGCGGCGCGCAAATTGTAAAATTGGTAATAATCAGTTTATTAAATATCACTCACCTGCAAATTCTGCAAACAAGAATTTGTCCCACTGTTTGAAAGGGGGAAAGCATTGTTTTACAAAATAATATAACGATATGGAATGGAGCTATATGTGGTGGAATTGCAGATTGCCTTAAATACAAATATATAAACCCTGGAATTGTTTAAATTTCGTCAAATATCAAAACATGATGGCTGATCACAGCATGTTGTCAGCAGCTCACAGCTGGTATGTTGATATACAAAATATTAATAATTGACCAAAAGGCTGGCACCATAGAATAGGAAATAGAAGGGCAACTCGAGTGTGAAATTTTAAATTTTGCACGTTGACTTTGATCACCAGTATTCTGGGCAGTATTAAAACACTAAACTGTCATCAAATTGAGAGGTTATGCATGCTTTGCCCACTACTATATGTTGCCTTCATTTCCTATTCTATGATGGTACTAATTATAAATTCTACTAAATTGTACTAAGTGGCGGCAGCTGATTATTTACTGCTCAGCGGGCTCGATGAGGAACTCTGCAGAAAATTTAAATGGAATTCTCAAAGCCCCCCCCTTTCCGTCCCCACACCTAAGCAAAAAAAAATTCGGAGAACTTCTCCAAACTGTTAGTGAAGCATTTCATTCCTACGGTCAAACCGGGTGTTCTCTTGCGTGCAACATTGCAATATTTTGTCCCGCAATATTGCAATTTTGATAAGCAGGTTGCATGATCTGAGAAATTGCTGTGCTGAGTGGTAATATATTACAACCTGAAATAAACAAGCAGAAACTCGATGTTTGGAGCGAAGGCCCTTGCTTAGTTACTACTAAGGCCCTTGCTTGAAACATCCAGTTTCTGCTTGTTTATTTTAGGTAGTAATATGACTACTCAGCACAGCAATTTCACATTGGTACTACCCACACTAGTACAGACAGTTTTAGGTTGCTCTGAGCAATTTGCAACCGACGCAAATAAATTGCAAGTTGAAATTCACAAAAGATTTGTAAACAAAGCCTCTGATTGGATTATAAGAAAGATGGAAGCCAAACAAATAGTCCGAGCAACTGGATTGGTGCTTGCAATTTGTTTATGTCGTTTGCAAATTCCTCAGAGCAATCTGCCTATCAAAATTACAATATAGAACAGCAATGTATGCTATAAATATTTTTATTATTTTATTATTATTAATATTGCAATGTTGCTTGCAAGAGAACATCCAGTTTTACTGTAACATTTTTAAAAACATATCACACAGAGGCTTCAGTGTGATCATAGTCTCTCAAGATGTGATAGTTGGGAATCCTGGCAAACTTCAAAGCCAGAAATTGAAAAAAGAAGACCTTTGTTTGATGATGAACTGTACCTGTATGAAGCTCACCGTGCACAAATCCTTTGTCTCAACTTCATGAAATAGTATTATTCATCATGGTTTGAATGATAGCATTCTCCCTCATGAGTAAAATTGTCTGGCATTAGACAGAGTAGAATAATAAAGTACTAGGGTGCATCTGGGTGCATTGCCATTTAAGGGGTCTTGATTATTAGCTACTGTATTGCATGTAAGCACCACCTATAAATTCAAGTTTCGCTCTCTTTTATGCTAATACCTACATAAACTGATTCATTTGCAAATAATTAGAGCTGCAATGATGTTTCATGTATACTATACAACATCAGTAGCATAATTTGAACATTGATATTTTAAGTATTCATTAATGGCTGGTGAACTGATTGCCAAAAGATGTAAAAATATCTTAAAAATCAGCTGCCCAAAGATGAAAAATCTTAACTGCTTAGAAGTCTGCCCCCGACTGTGTTATGTTATATAATATTTAGTGTCCCTAACCTATACTGCCTGAATGTGTTTGTTAAGTTATACAGTATATGCATCATTCCTTAACCTGTACGTACTGTGCCAGCTAGTTTGCATTGCCCTGACTGTCATATTTTATCATACTGTACAGTAGTTTTCAAACACAACACACAATAGTGCGAGGCCAACGCTTTTATGGTTGGACTCAACACAACTTTTTTGTATTTTATTAATATAAATAGCAATTTGTAAAACTTATTTAGTTATTTATACAGGAAATAGTGCTACACAATATGATTCCATATAACAAGAACAAAACAAATCCTGTTTTTGCATCATGTTTACCCCATGGTTAAGTCAAAGCCTGAATATAGGTTGAGTTGGGTAAACCAATTAATAAATAGGATTAGCTGAAATAAATCAACCAGATGATCAGATTGTGAACATCATGCATTGTTGCAATATACACATAAATATTGGTTTCGATTAAGAAACTTACTTTGACTTTGAGTCAATTAAAAATAATCTAATCCATTCTCTAATTCTACTTCTTATTGTTATTGTAATTGGGTGAAAGTTTTAAATAATAAAATAAAAAAATAATCAAATAATGTAATGGCTATTGGCTAACAACTGAGTCTTGATTATTAGCTTTAGTACCATTTTGTAAACACCACCAATAAATATTGGCAATTAAAGTTTTTAAAGTTGCACCTTTCTTTCATGCCGATATAGCCTGATATACTGATTCATTTGCAAATAATTAGATTTGGAGCAATGATGTTGCATGTATACTGTACAACATCGGTAGCATAATTATGAAAATTGATCTTTAAGTATTTACCACTGAATGGCTAGTGAACTGATTGCCGAAAGATTATGAATCTTAACAACCAGCTGCCCAAAGATGAAAAATCTTAACAGCTTAGAAGTCCACACCAGACTGTGTTTTGTTAGTTATATATACTGAACTGTATTTAGCACAGAATAGCTAATGAACTGATTGCCAAAAGACATCAAATCTTAACAACCAGCTGCCCAAAGATGAACAATCTTAACAGCTTAGAAGTTCATGCCAGACTGTGATTTTTAAGTTACATGTATTTATCAATTAATGTTTAAAATTCCATATATGCTGATATACTGATTAATTTATAATTAATCAGAGCAATGATGTTGCATAATTATATACATGTAGTCACCAGAATATATGCATGACATCTTAAGAACTGTATCTATTATCAAATATTAGATAATGAACTGATTGCCGAAACATAGAATCTTTATACGATCAGCCGCAAAGATGAAAAATTTTGACAGTTTACTGTAGAAGTTCATGCTGGACTATATGTTTTTTCAAGTTAAAAATGTTTAAACTACTGTAAGTTGAATATAATTATGCTGATTGATTAAGTTGCAATTGCAGGAACAATGCTGAGTATATACTGAGAAATACTGCAGCAGTCCTATGAACATTGGAAATATAAAATACTTTACTGCAGAATTGCAATACCACAAATAAACCTGCACAAACAATACCATTTTGTAAACACCACCTATAAATATTGGCAATTAAAGTTTTTAAAGTTGCACCTTTCTTTCATGCTGATAGCCTGATATACTGATTCATTTGCAAATAATTAGATTTGGAGCAATGATGTTGCATGTATACTGTACAACATCGGTAGCATAATTATGAACATTGAACTTTAAGTATTTACCACTGAATGGCTAGTGAACTGATTGCCGAAAGATTATGAATCTTAACAACCAGCTGCCCAAAGATGAAAAATCTTAACAGCTTAGAAGTCCACACCAGACTGTGTTTTGTTAGTTATATATACTTCACTGTATTTAGCACAGAATAGCTAATGAACTGATTGCCAAAAGACATCAAATCTTAACAACCAGCTGCCCAAAGATGAACAATCTTAACAGCTTAGAAGTTCATGCCAGACTGTGATTTTTAAGTTACATGTACTATTTAACAATTAATGTTTAAAATTCCATATATGCTGATATACTGATTAATTTATAATTAATCAGAGCGATGATGTTGCGTAATTATATGCTGTAGAACGTCACCAGAATATGCATGACATCTTAAGAACTGTATCTATTATCAAAGATTAGATGGTGAACTGATTGCCGAAACATAGAATCTTTACGATGGGCCGCCAAAGATGAAAAATTTTGACAGTTTAGAAGTTCATGCTGGACTATATGTTTTTTCAAGTTAAAAATGTTTAAACTATTATAAGTTGAATATAATTATGCTGATTGATTAAGTTGCAATTGCAGGAACAATGCTGAGTATACTGAAAAATACTGCAGCAGTCCTATGAACATTGGAAATATAAAATACTTTACTGCAGAATTGCAATACCACAAATATACCTGCACAAACGATACCACAAATAAACCTGCACAAACAATATAAGCAAATGGAACAAAATATGCATAGCATTCACCACTTATATGACTTGTGTGCTATAATTCCATAATATAAAAATAGTGTTGGCAGGGTTCGAAATAACGGTTCGTGATTCGTGAATCACGAATCAATTTTCATTTTTCACGAACCCAATTTCATAGAAATTGATCAAAATCACGAATCAAAAGTCTCTCAAATTGATAAAAATATACAATAATAAATTCAGTTCTTTGTAAATGTGATGAAGGATATATATTCTGAAGATATTGTTGTTAGATTGTACTTAAAAACGATTATAATTCCACCCAAAATTCCATTTTTTTGCGAGTTTGCGATGTATATTATATATTTGAAAATTGCAGTGCTTCCACTTTTTAACTTCCAATTGGCGAAAATTCCTTGAAAATTCCTTAAAATTTTCTTAAAATAAAAAAAATAATTCACGAACCATTTTTTCACAATTAATTCGAACCCTGGTTGGTTATATTATACTGTGGAACATTGTAATATAGGAATGGTTGCTAGCTGAAAGATGACATTCTGGTAAAAGAACTGTTTCACAAGCTTAACTATACATTATCCACTGAAAAATGTTATTTTATTAGTATGATTAATTGATTAATTAAAAACCTGTCTTACTTGTTTTTGACCATTAAGGTTGCAAGATTGGCTAATTTCCCAGAAGACTTGGTCTTAAAAATGGTGAAGGAGAAGAAGATTCCTAATTTCCTATCTCCTCACCAATAATCTTAATTATTTTACCTGCTGGAAAGACATCATTGGCTTTAGTAACTGATTTGTTTACAATTGGGAACTTCTGGTGCTATATGAGTATAACTGTATAAGTTGTCTTAATTATATTTCTTCATTTGTGTATTCCTACAGTACATGACTTGACAAATTACTTTCACAAACTTTACCAAATAACCTTTTTGGCTACAAACCGAAACAGTATACAGTATTTGACATTAAATTGCAATGCAAGTATTCCTTCAGTCTTGTGAATGTGATGCAGAGCATCTCCTATGTATATCATCATTAATTTCTGCTCATGAAATGCAGCGTCAAATAATAACCTGTACTCTGTCATTTATTGTATTCCATGTCCAACAATTAGACTCCATTACAATGGAATATGTTTTAATCTCTGTTTGGATCCCGTGTAGATGAGGCACACAATGATATGAATGTGGTTTCTTGAAATTGTGGTTCCTTGCTAGGGATACGGTAGAGCACTGTCAAATGATATTCTCCATATGTGCCTTCTACATTTGGGGATTCTATTTGGAGGTCCGCCAATTCGCATGGTTGAACACGTAAGAATACTTAGTTACATGTATTATCACATTTGCTAATATCAACCTGCAAATAACAATGTTCAAGTGTTAGCTGGGTATGTCTTTCAGAGACATTAGCACGTGGTCGGGCTCGAAGCAACACACCTTCGGAAGCCACAAAATAATACATGGGCTTGGAAGATGTTAATTATGGTTAACACATTAAAAAATACAATGTTCCTAATGCTCTTTTAGTCTTTTTTATTTTATTCTGTCTAATTGAAGGCAATTAGCATAGTACACATAGCATATTACCAGGTTAACAGAAATATGGCTATGTAAAAACTCACAAATATTGTAGCTCGATAAACTCAACTCCAAAACATTTTGTGTTACTCAATACTCATTAGGGTTATCGTAACAACTATACTTTCCGGCTGCCAATGCCTTTGTCTACTCATAATGTACGCCTCTGGATTAATATTTAATGAGCGCTAGCTGTATGAGTGGAATACTTTATTAGACAACACACATCACGTTTGGCAGATGGAAAACCTTAAATACAATTAAATCTTTCAGTGGTAAATAATAGAATGCATGACTGGTTTATAGCAAATCAACAAAGCATGAAAGTTTGTGCTTTAAGTACATGATTCAGTTTGAGCGAATACTGTATCTGTTATTAAGTTAATATCGTCAACTAGTGTACTAGCGCGTCTATATAACCCAAAGTTCAACAAAGCAAAACAAAATATATAATCGTTTCATCGTTTGCTTTTTGTTAATACGGCATTTATACAGAATATATTATACAGTATGAACATACCGCATTACACGTTTTATCCCACAACTGATATGCGATGTTTTATCACTTGGCGCACTTTCTCGACAGCGAATAATATTTGCTGGCAAGTTCATTATGTGGCAGCTTGCTTCTTCCTTGACCCTGACCAGAGCTTCCTGAATTTTTAGTAAGGATATCGCCTTGGTTTGTCTTTCTCTTCTCTCGAACCTTTTGCGCTTCTTACGGGCTGTCCTCGTTCTTTTTTTTCTGTTGGTTAGGGCTGTGAATATGCCGTTTAACTAAAGTAGGCTTTTCTCACACAACGGTTGTTATTAGGCATAGATGTCGGTATAACCTGCGCGCGATTTTGCGCCAAATAAGTTTACTAATGCATAGGTCTGGTTTGACGTCATCATGCCCATATTTGGTGGGTGCGCAAAGTTAATTGCATTCACCTTGTCTGTCGTATTCATGCATGCAAAGATTTATATTTCTTAGGCCGCGTGTACACGATACCAGACAGATTTTCATTTACCAGACAAAAGTTTAAGTATTTGACCACTTATCCGTACAAGTTTTTGTCCGTCACGAAAGCGTACCAGTTTCAAAATGTATCGACCAGACAAATGTTTGTTCGGTACTATATGTAAGCGCAAAATCGGAACAAATATTTGTGCGACTACATCTCGGGAAACCTGGAACGTAAACAATGCCCCGAGCAAAGTCTGATCACATCCGAATTCCGCCAAGCAAAGAGCGAATCTATCCAGTACGAAGTATGTCGGAGGTCTATTGTCGTTAGCAGTTCAAATTTTTCGCAAAAAGAATGTATGCTTCGACAGCTGTGAACAATGATAGCGCACAGGCATACCACAGGAATATGCAGACAAATATTCGACCGACATTGCAATCAGTATACAGGTTTCTATCGAAATAGAAATTGGTCTGGTGCCATGAAAATAGAGTGGAATGGTTTGAACCATGCAAATGGCCCAAAATAATATTTCTTTTCAATCGTATGCTTCCATAAAGTTTTAATTATTATAGGGAATGCATAATGACTAAAATGTTTACATCATTACAAGGACATAATTTACTCATTTGAGCGAGCAAAATAACCGCTGCATTTCATCTGCAACATTGAAAATCATATTTAAAGAGCGCCATGGCGCTCAGATAAGTACGAAATTAGTAAATTACGGTGTCCATACAATACATGCACGATATAACAAAATGAATAAATAGTACTATAATACAATTTTATCCACGACTTCTTGTGTGCGCCTTGCGGTATTAATCTGTTTGGTTTTTGATATGGAGATATCCAAATAGAGAAGGAATTTTCAAGTATTTTATCTAGCTATTAGCTAAACATAATATGCTAACACCTGAAATTTGTTTACAGACATCTTGAATCATCAAATTCCATCATAAATTGCAGTAGGGATTCACTTCTTATTATGTTGTTATCTATTCCACTTCCAATCTGAAGCATTCAAAGGAATGTTTAACTTTACAAACTATGTTGTGGAAACACGTATGAGATGAGATTATAATATTCCAAGTGTGAATATTAGGTGAATATGTGTCATATTCACGGCATATTCACGCTTGGAATACTCTGCAATACTATGCCGTATTCACAATAATATTCCACGTCAGAATACTGTTGCAATATGCGTTTTCTTCTAACCCGTATAGACATGTGAATACCTCGGAATACGTCGCTTTTCATGCAGTGTTGGCAGCTATGTGCAAATGTGTTGCAAATATAGTAATAAATTTGCAAGCCTGCAAAGATGTAGGCAAATGTGAAGCGAATTTATCGAGTTGCAAAGATGAATTCGCAATGGTTGCAAATTCAAACTACTAAATTTGCATCAAATTTGCAACTATTGCCAATTTGGTGCGAATCTATTTTTTCGTCCCGTGGCATGCAGAGAGTGGCCTAGTATTCTCCCATCCCATATACCCGCAAAGCCACCTGATGATCCACCTGTAAGCTGTTGCTCTGATAAATCTAAAAACACAAAACAAGGTACACTGTTTCAGAACAATTCTCAGATCTATAATTATACAATAAATATTATCATTCATAAATATTATCATAAATATTATCATATCATATCATAAATATTATCAGTGGGAATCAAATTACCATATTTGGGTTCCTAGACTGCCCCTCTGTCCTTTGCGAGCTAACGAGAGCTGTTTTGTGTTTGGCCCTTGTTTTTGTGCACACCTATATATGTTCTTCATGGCTTGCAGGCCTTTATTACAATGCAGTATAACACATATTACTCAAGCTCATATAACACATATCACTGAAACTTCTGGGTAGAGGGAGGGGGGAGTCTTTTAATCTCCAAGTGAAGTACAGTGAATATGTTTATAAATATCAAACATACAGTATACTAACTCATTTTCTGACACTCCAGTTATCTTTTTGTATTTACATCCATCTCTGTGCTTTGATAACGGGCCAACTTGAAGAATTACTGCACGATTATAATCATAGCTCCATAGTCATCATGCTCTGTGATACAGTTGATCTTTTCAATAGAGCCATCAAAGGCCATGTTCCCTGGTACATCAACAACTTCTCGACAGCAATGAAATTCCAGAGCCCCCACTAAAGTTTCAGCATGACATTGTTGACATTTGCACCTGTATGTATATAAAATGACAATCCGAGTATAAATTTGAGTTGTTAAAATGGTAAATATGTTTAATACACATCACATGCCACATAGTCCGAAACTGGGTTATTATTTTAATTAATATATCAACATGATCGATAAAATATATATTTTCATAAAAAATATATCTCAATACTTACCAGGATTCAACTGATACAGTATTTTCATATCGTGCTTCCAATACTGAAGGTGTAAGGCCATCGATATCGGCGTGTTCATCTGCTAGATCGCTTTCATTTTCTTCATTGCTGTCTTCACGTTCGTCAGCAAGTGGTTCGTCTTCGTACGGTGCGTATATTTGACTGCTGAAAACTTCATAGTTCTCGTCATTATCGCTAGAACTATCTTGGATGGAGGGCGCAACTGATTCACTGGTTTCTGAATCTCTCAACATCATCAAAAGTCGATAGGTACATTGATTTCGAGTCTTTCGACGTACCGATTGAAAGAACAATATAGTCAGCCAGCAAGAATTGCAACCTCGTTCCCAGGGTATTTAGGAAATACCCTCGTATGGGCTGGTCACGTGCCTCGTCCAAAATTTAGCGCCCGAGGGGGTGTGGGGAAAGTATCAAATTACATGATTCCAGTGGAGATATTTTGTTTAACAGTTAAAAACATAAATTTTGCGAATTATTAAGTTCAAAATACTTGCTAATTTTTGTTTCTTTTGTTTGCTATGAATTTACAAGAACATTCTTACATTTTTACCAACAGTCAAGTCAAGAAACCAAGCAAATCGTTACTCACAGTGCTCTCTCGTGTTGTTATTCAATGCCGTCTCTTCACACTCGAGCGCGGTTTTATAACAAACGTTTATTATGAGCTTTTCAGTCATCATTTCTACATATGTAGTGTTTTTAAAATACGCCATTAGATTTGTCCTTTCTTGTAAATGTGTATATGCTTTGCACCGATTTAATTACTTGTTACTACGTCTACGCGTCTTGTTTATAAGATTGAAAGAAACAGTATTGTATTGTCTGGGACTAGAGCCCAATATTAGCAAATGTAAACATTTGATACTAGCCAAACAGAAAAGTCTGTCAGTGAATAGTGATTATAAAATTTTGGATTTAGTACATAGTATTTGGTAATTATAATCACGCTTTAGCTTTTTTCTTGGTCTTTATTAATCATAATATTTTCCTAATATACTAAATCTATATATCACAAATTTACAGTGTCAGACGCGCACAGACTGTCAAACGAATAAACATAGATTTTCGAGTTTTCTACTTCTACTAACATTTTTAAAGTTTTCATTGTGAATCATCTGTTTATTTCTAGTTCATTAGTCATTAATATGCTCTAAAAAACAAGGCTCTCAAATATATTTGTATATTTATTTGATAGTGTCGTAGTGATATATGCATTTACTGATTTACAAACAATCCTGGATATGATAAAGACGATACAAGCTGTCCATTAAAAAATAACGGTATTCTATTCCACAAAGCAAAACACTGGTATTATTAAAAATATATTTAAAGCAAAAAATTTAAACTTGTGTGAGTTGTGTCAAAACGAAAGCTGCTTATAAAATTTATAAATGTTGTAAACACTACTATTAATATAAAGATTAAAGTGCCCATTGTCATTGAAAGACATAATATAGTACACTGTCGTTTGACTTATCTTTGATGTATGATTTTAATACTGTAGATTTTCAACAGACAACTAGACTTCAACATATACCATGATTGTTGAGTTTCAGCAATGCCAAGGGCCAATGCAGGAAGTTTTATAAGCTTTTATAGTCAACAATCAACAATCTGGATACAGTTGGCGGCTTGGCTTGGCGATATTTCGGAAATCCGCAAAAGATGTCGTTATTTCGTTGCAATTCCATGCCACATCTCATCAATAAATAAATTCTTTTGGTTCGAGTATCTAGATATACTTTACTAACAGTTAAATAAATGAATAACCACATTGTTCGGTCTAGATAGTATACTTTTTTGTACTTTTTTTATATATTGCCACGCCGTCCACGCGTGCTTTCTCAGTGACAAGTCTATAAGTTGAAATCTGATTCAACTTGCTTGAATTGTAACTCGACACTAGATTATGGAGTAGAAAGTCACGTCACGATAAATATTAATTTTTAATTGCAGTTCTATTCACGATTTCTTTGAAGATTCAATGGCTATTGTTTATATTTTAATAGAGCGATCTAATTAATTCTGACAATATATACTCACTCCCCCGACCCTATAGTAAACAATACGCTATTTTACGCAAAATCCGCGGGTCACGTGACCATACTATACCAGGGTATTTCGCTCCCCAAGAGCAAATACCCTGGGTACTAGGTTGCAAGAATTGTTGTTTGTGCAACCAACGTGACGTCACTGTTCACTCAGAAATCAGAAATTCGCTCCAGTCTTTCGGACACATTTTTGTCATAAAATTCGACGGTTTTGTGCTTAAAAAACCAGACTTTTTGGTATTTTTCGGGAAAAAAATCACTCGTTTATGTTTTATACATATGTTAAACTAAACATATATGGCAAAAAAATTTCGTGTCATATGCACTTTAACAATCAATCAGATGTTTTATAAAACTGCATCGCTATATTTGAAAATCTTTTGACCATTCATGTAAATTAAGGACAAACGCGTAACATTTTTTCGTAAAACAGGATACAAATTAATTCGCTTTGCGACGAAAAATCCTAGATCCGCCCTTGATTACACCCGATTCAGGCTCAACAATATTGTTCAACATTGTTGACAAGTGTGAACAACGTGGGCAGCACAACATTGTTCATTCCTGTTAAACAGCAGGCTTATAATTTTTACGCGTGTAGTATGAGGCGCCGTGTATTGCAAAATTCATACTTTTGTTTAAACTATTCAAAGTTTAGAACACATATTAAATAGAAAACATTGTTTCACAACTTGACCACGGCGGGAATCGATGCTCTACCAACTGAGCTACGAGGTCGAGACGGTTCGAGTGTGTGATATTTCGAAACTCAATCTAGTTTCTTCTATATCAGTATGTTCTTACATGATATGAGTCGTGGGTTCGATTCCCGCCGTGGTCAAGTTGATTTTTCAACTTGTCCGGTGTGGATACACTCAGAGTAACATCACAAACATATACCTACACCTGAATGCATAACACCATAATTACATAAAATTCATTATGATGTAAGAACATACTGATATAGAAGAAACTAGATTGAGTTTCGAAATATCACACACTCGAACCGTGTCGACCTCCTAGCTCAGTTGGTAGAACATTGGACTAGCAAACCAAAGGTCGTGGGTTCGATTCCGGCCGTGGTCAAGTTGATATTTCAATTTGTCCGGTGTGGATACACTCAGAGTAACGTCACAAACATATACCAACACTTGAGTGCATAACACCATATTACATAAAAATTCATTGTTTCAGAATATGTGAAATACATACAGCCTATATATGCAGAAACATAAACATATTGTACTGAAATGCTCAAAGTAAGCACTGAAAATCACTTTAATACAGGTTCTCAGTGTACTTTATGCACAAATTCTCTTACGATATGTTCCACGTTATGGGATAATTATGCATACTTTCAATCAAGCTTTGGTCAGCGGTCACGTTTAAAAACCTTTTCAAATGCAAATTAGAAGCAATAAAAACCTAGGGACAGAGCTTTACAGACAGTTCTTTCTTTCGTGCTTTTGGATGGTTAATTGGTCGTTATTCTCACTCTCACTCAGGCTTTCCTCGCGTGTGAATGATGTCACAAAACAAACAACAACAACCGATTTCGGCGGCAGGAGAAATCTCTGCTATTGTCGTTGACGAAAGCCAACCTGATAAACCTGATTCCGAAGACGACGGTATTGACAACTCAGTATTGATAAGATAATGGCGAGTATCAATGCTATTGCAAAGCAATTAAATCAAAATGGCGTCGCAGAGTTCCTACTTTTTTACTGTTCGCGCGAACAAATTCGCCTAGTGGAGAACGGGCTTATGAGAGGCATTCAGCCCCTGCTAATTAATATTCAAAATGCCTCTCATAAGCGCACTGGATAGGACAATAGCGTCAGCATTTTGATGACGAATCATCGCGCGGCAGGGAGTGGTCATGCTTTTTTGGTTGAGTCGACCTTCTGTGAACCTTCTGTGTGTCTTTAAGGCAGTTTTCCACTTCGCTCGTATCGTAACGCAACGTACCTGTGAGCATGCGCAGCTTGAATATGGGTTTTCAAATTTACGTACTTCCGGTTGATTCGCATATCAAAATAATTAGTCGCTGGACACTCTGTGCCTCCAGCGACTATAGGGTTTCGGCTTTTCGCGGATAGTTACTATCAGTCGCTGGATTCAAGATAGCCGCTTACTCGGGAGCGTAATTGGTATTAATTTCATCGATTTTGTGCATGTTTTCGTCATTTCTCAAATGAAACTTAAAAGTTTTCACATTAACAAGACTTTATAAACCGAAAGTCATCTTATACGAGTAAACTTGGAAGGCTGGAAGCTTGGAATAGACGACAAAAGTTCACAATTTTCAATTTCACAAAGTTGGAACTTCGTAAATTGCAACAAAAATAATCGAAAGTTGCTGTTTATTTGGATGTAAATAGAATCTGCTTTATAGGACAAGGATTTAAAAGTGCTTCTTGCCTGGCAATTGATATTTTAAAAGCTCGCAGGACAGTTGTTATTACAATATGTATTGTAGAAACAAACAGAACATGTTCATTTGTATAATAGATAAATTTGGCAAATTTGTTTACATTGTTGCTATGCAATTCACAATTTTAAATATCCATGCCTAGTTAGTGTTCTGCAGTAGTTCACACATAGAATAGAACAGAGGTAACTAAGCATTTGATAAGCTCTATACACTATAAAAGTCATTCATTCATGTAGATAATTCGAAAGCTTAGTTACCTTTGTTCTACTCTATGCTTCTGTACACTAGAACAATGATAATTAGGCATGTGAATTATATAAAGTTGTGAATTGGGTATAACCAAACTTAGCCAAATGTGTTTATCATCTGCTGTATAGTGGGGGGACTTGTTTGATGAACCTCGTCTTTGATATATCTTTGAATCCCATTTTTGACAAAAACAATTTCATATGAAGACATAAACGTAACAAAGAAATAACAGCAACCTTAATCTCAATCACAGCTTAATATGCAATAGTCCCAGCGAACTAACGCTCAATTGAGCGTCTTGTTAACAAAAAGTTCGTCATTAACCAATCAACATTCACTAAATTTTAAAATTTAAAATTTCATTTGATACGTGTTGGGAACGTTAGGCTTAACTATTAGTGGAAAACGGCCTTTATTCTGTTACTTTGACTTCACCATATGCCATTACTTCTTGATTACAGCGGTGAATACGACGAATAACCTGAAAGGTAAAATAAATACATAATAATAAATCTATTAATCGAAGCTTCTATATTTTATGAAACAAAAAATGTTTGCAGATTTCTGTTTTGTAGATAATTATGAATGAGTGCTTTAATACTGCAAAGCTTAAATTAAAATGTATAAGTTAATAGCTGCCTTCCCAAGTAAAATGTTACTATTTAGCACAAAATATTGTTAACGTGCATGCAGTAAAATATATAGGCTATATTTGAATGGAGGAACGGGGAATGGAGAAACGGGGAACATCGAGGAATATCTCGGGGAATATCATATTTTTTACTTTTAACAATCTTTAAAAGAGGGAATATATCGGGGAATATCATATTCTGGCCCTTTCAAAGATCTTTAAAAGGAGGAATATGATATTCCCTGATATATAGTCCAGTGAAATATGACCGTGAAACGCATTAAAAAATTACTATGTTTTTACAAACAAACAATGAAACAAGCAACAAAATATTTTTATTCATTCGTATGTATTTTTACATACAAATAATGAAACAAGCAACTATAGCAACATGAAAACCCAGTTTTGGACATCATTTTTTTTCATGTGCCGAACTTTATGAGAATTACTCATTTAACACGGTGCTATTTACATTAACAAGGCAGTTAAAGGTTTACTTCTTTCTTTGTTATGTAAATTGTTTTGAAATAGAAGTATAGAACCATGTTCTAAAATAGAGGAGACTAGGGCCTAGGCATTCGCATTTAAATTCGGAACAACATGAGATGCATGACATCCAAAACATGTATAAGACTTCCTAGATATTCAACATCATGCACGTTTTGATTTTACATTCGCATTATCAGCTGTGAATTGTGAATCATGTGACTACAGACTAAAGTCCCCGTTTTTCAATACTAAAATTTTCAATCCGAAAAAGCTACAGGTAGTTAATGCATTCGCACAAATGACGTGCGTTTGTGTATGATTAAACAACAGTACTTAAAAAATATGAATAAAATAGCTTAGTAAGCTGGCAATTAAAGTGCTACTAACTTCCAGACTAATGATCTCGTTCGAAACGTCAACGGTTGTTCTTTGTACATGCGCAGCAAATTGTGTTCTCCTCTACCTACACTGGCACCCAATAAAACACAAATGAAGCTGTCCTGGGTTGCCAGCCTGCCACCTTCTTTCAAGTTGGAACGAACTATATCAAGGATGTTCACTGCACATAACTGAGTATCTACACTTTTTACTTTTTCGCTAGAGGCATTACGAACATCACATTTTCGCCGTTCATGTTGTCATAGCCCGGAACAAATTTCCCCATTATCCGCTGGACAGGCAAGAATGATACAGCACCGAAACTCTCAAACTGATTGGTACACCAAATCTCTGGGAATGGTTCACCAGGACCGCAGAGGAATCGATCAGGATGACGATGAAACCAGTCAACTCTAGCTAAGAAGAACGTGTACTTCTTGCCGTCGACAGAAATGGAATGCTTTAATTTAGAAAATACTTAACGATGCCGGGTCGATGGTCTGGCGAATGGATATCGACTTCCCCATCATATCGTGCGGCCCATTTAGCGAGTACGAACGAGCACCGATTAAGTCGTGAAAACTGGGAACCAAATCTTTCACCTGCGCATTCTAGTGACGCATACCGATCGTAGAAACGCGGAATTGTTATGTCTATAACAACTGGAAAGAACAAACGATAGACATGTGTGAGGTAAAGTAGATCATCATCATCCAAGCTAGAAATTACATGCGATGGGCCAAAAGAAAGGCAGTCAACCGAATACCAAATATCGTTCGTTATGTCAATTTCGCCGTCGCATAACTTGAGAAGATTTAATAACTTGGCGCAATCAACAGAGAGATCTCGTACATGATTGATTTCCCGAACCTTGGAAATTAGTGGCTCCATTTGATCTTTATATTCATCTGGAAACTGTAGGTCATCCAAATCCTGATCCCTAACGAACTGCCTCACCATCTGAAACTCAACGGATTTGTTATTGGTATGGTATTTGCCCAAAATTCCATTATACCGTTCAAAGCTAAAAAGCCAGAAGCTATAGATAGGTCCATAGTCTAAAATACAATCTGCTAAATGGACGTGGAGGTGCATGTTTGGTGTTACACGATCTTTGCCATATATGTTTTCAAATTGCTTACAGAATTACAGGACCATCTTGGAGTAAAATGCCAAAATTTTAGCGTTGCAAGCGTTGCAAGCAAAAACGTTACAAACCAGGACGTTGCAAGCAAAAAAGCAGTTGTACCAGCGATTGTAAAGGTATAAAGCTTGAAGAATTGTTTTCTGTATATATTATGAGTTATGATTAAAAAACCACTTGCTATATCCACCCAACTGTCTACGATATCATGTTAAAAGAAAAAAAAACCTGCATAGCTGTGTCAGAGTTTAACAAATTTTGAGCCAGTGTTTCTGTTTTGCTCATAAATTCGAATTGCCTTTTGTATCTCAAAGCCATAGGCATAGTGCAAATTAAAAGCTGAAAATCAACTTCCAAACATTAATTAATCATCCTTAACTTTACACAATATTGACCACAAAACAGGGAAATGCAGTATTTACCATTCGAAGTATAAACTATGGTCGCATTGTGCCCTACTTTATTATTTTACTCTGTCTATAAACACCAGACAATTTTGCAAATCAAGTGGAGAGTGCTGGCACTTCGAGCTTATTTATACAGTATGATCCCGCCTAGGCGGGATGGGACGTTTTTCATTCTGCTTAGGAGAGTTTCCCATCTAGGCGGGATATAGTGTTTATATCAATGACATATGGACAAAATACATTGCCGGGATGAAGGCACTTAAGTGCTTGACGTCATATTTTTTGCAGAAAAGGCATTTACGTATGCTCAAGGGAAAAGTCCATCCCGCCTTGCCGGGACAGTGTTTATATGAGAATTATTCATCTCGCTTAGGCAGGATCTCGGCATTATCTCGGGATTATATAAACAGGCTCTTTATATAATAGGTCAAGCAAAATTGTTTCCTGTTTGTTTGAGTAAATGTGGTAGCTCCTAGCCAATGTTTACACAAGACTGGTCAAGTAATGAGAATGGCATGTTCATATGAGGGATGGGACGGTGATCAGGATTCCAGCATACATGCATGTATATATGTTATCATATAAGGATGAGGTGATATCAGTTTTATCGCTTGATATCACAATTGTCACGAGCGCAGCGAGCGATGGACAATTGTGATATCGTCTCGAGAGCGATAAAACTGATATCACCGAATCCCAAATACGATAACCTATTTATTATATACTTGTACCTTTATCAGGGTTTGACACCCAAAAGTAAACAGTTTTGAAAAAATAGGATCATTTTAGAATTCAAAACAATTCATCATTTACTGAACAAATATGATTTTAGAAAATAAATACCATAGACCATTCATATAAATAATATACAATTTAAGTCTTTCATTTTGTAATATCGTTCTTGTTTTCTTCGATAAACTGTCGACATCAACCAACACGAACCTCGAATCGGCCATCTTTGTTTTGACAAGGCACGAAATTTAGCGGGACAAAAAAGATATCCGGGACGATATCGTTTTTATGTCCCACTGCTTCCTATCTGATAATAGTCTAGGACCTGTATATTAGTTTGTATGCATTTCATTTAGGACAGATAATCTCAACTGTTTTTGGGCAAGTTGACCATGACGGTCAACATATGGTAACGCTGCCCGAACCCCAATCCGGGACGAAACGTCCGAAACTGACCACACCCAAAAACGACGCTTTCGCAATAGTGCTATCTACCAAACCATAAAAGCTTTGGCTATTCTGAGGTGCTTATATGGTTCAGAGATGGTGGTTTTATGGGTGGTCATTGGTAAGTGTGAAATGCCTAGTACTGATATTTCACAAGAAAATGACCATTCAATAATTAACAATTATTGGATGAGGTTTTTGTGATATGCGGAATTATCAAGGTCGAGGTAAGCTTACGTTATATAACGCTTACCGAGACCTTGATAATTTTGCATATCGATCACAAAAACGGAATTCAATAATTGTTTTATTATACATTTGAAGAATAATAAACATAGTATTAACGCATGAAAAATTTTATTTATGAAAACATAGGCACACCCAATAATACATCAATTAATTCATAAGATATAAACAAGTCCAACAGCTAAATTAATTGCAAGTATAAAAGAAACATATTATCGTTAATGTATTTAATTGTTAAAGTATACATTACAATTATGAAATGTATACTGTTTGGCAACCTGTGTGTTGGTAGTCATGTTCAGGTCTGTCAAAATATGCTGTTCTTGTGAAAGGGTCAATAGGGGAGATTAACTTGTTGCTACCAATGCTGGTTCCGTTATCTGTTGCGGGTCATATATCATAGCTGGAAAGTCGCTGCCGCTGGTACCTGTAGTTGCAGATGTCAGGGTTTCTGAGATTCGCTTCTTTGTAGCTTCGTCCGTCTTGCTATAACTTCGGATGGAACTCTCGGAACGGTGGCCACTAACAGATATGATGTGGCGAGCCTCAAAACCTGATTTATCTAAGATTGTGACCGCTGTCGCCCGTATCGAATGGTTTGTGTTCTGCTGTGATAAACCTGCCTGTTTGGATCTGTTTTTCATCATGTCGCCTAGGTATCTTTCGCCGACGACCATGTTGGCATACCAAACATCAGAATCTGCCGTTGTATTCTTCTTTGGACGTTGAAACAAGAATTCATTCTGTGGGTTTAAATGCTGTAGATATTTCTCAAAAGATGCAACAGGACAAAATGGGCCTTCGGTTGCATACATCATCCCTCCTTGTTCGGCTTCGTCGTTTTCTCTGTGGTTTTTGGTTAGCTCGTCAACAACTTTCGTCACAAGCTTTTTTCCCGATGCATCGACCAAAACAGCAAAGTGCGACTTCTTTAACTGGCGTAGGTTTTGACGTCCACGACAGCAAAAGCACAGCATGATTTCGAAAAACACTTTGTTCAAAAGGGTTTTCGGGTTATTGGTGTTGAACACAGCACTTTCGTAAAGTTTTTTCAAGTCTGCATTGGCCATCGGAGGCTTGTGTTGCACTTTTGCTAGTCCTTCTTTCTTCAGTTGAACACATTTGGCCGAGTAAACTTCGTTCGCTTCGTTGAATCCTTCATCATTAATAATATCAAAGCCTGTCACCGTCTTTAAATATCTTTTCAAACCAAATCGGATTGTTCTAAGGCTTCCCATACTGTAAGACGAACCATCTTTTTTTCGCGCTTCGACATAAAATTTCTTAAGAACTTGAACAAGTTCGCTTTTTTCGGTCGGTTCTGGGGCCGGTTGTATAAAACTCTTAATCACTTTTTAATCACTATTTTGTAGTTAAATAGTGATTAACTCTCAAATACACGCTTCTTATTGGATGACGTTTCCACTAACTATAGTTAACTTTAATCACTTTTTTATACAACCGGCCCCTGGTATTCCTTTTTCATTTAGATATTCGTAAAATACTTCCTTAGCAACTTTATACGTTCTTTTCGTGTTATCTGCGTCTTTGTTTTCGAGTAATTTTTGTATTTCGTCTTCTGAAAAGTTTGAAAACCTATCCATATTCACATTGTTCAAAATTTTGCTTTGCTAGTTTCCCTTTGTTTGTGTTAAACAGATACCGCTTGCTAATCATCGCAGGCTCATTTGCAGATAACTCAGTTTAGTCAGGTATCTGCTAGCAAATAACTGAATTTTCTGTAGGTTGCGTGATTGCGCGATTTAACTGTAAGCTCTTAGCCAATCAAATTCCTTTAACCAACTACAATGTATAATATTCATAGTTAAACGTCAAATTGTGGCTTGCAACTTCAGCTAAACAGCAGTGGACTTACATTACCTTTTTCCCTAAATATTTTTGATAGAAACATAATTGGTACTAATTTAAAGACATTACCACTGGTTTGGTGTAAAATAGTTAATATTTTCTGAGCGAAATATTAATTTGAAATGTGCCTACCTCCTGCAAATGGACGTATTTGACCAAGTTCTCCACTTTACTCCGCTGTTTATCGGCAATCTCTTCGACATTCTTCCAAAAATGTAAATCATCTCAGACATAATGGTATCAAGAACATTTTAAACAAGGTTTAACTTGGTTTCAAGTAGATCCTAGCTGTTTAACCATCGACAATGTAAAACATTAACTTTGCCCAAATTCGGCGCCATTTTGCAGTCCCGTGTCGGTTGTCAACAATTCGGCCTCTTTATTTTTGTGTCTAAGCCATTTGCATTCAATAACGACAAATTTAACCCTATGTTAAGGGTATTAAAATTAAGGTGTTCCTCACGAGTCTTTCAAAACATTTCGTACAAATCTCGCGAGGGCAAAGCAACATGCCGTGACAGGGGGTGAACGTTTTTTCGCGAAGATTGAAGAAGGCTGCGTGTGACAATAGGGAACCCAAGCTGACTTAATTCACTTTAGTTGAAAAGTGAAGGCTAACTCTAAAATACATCCTAAACTGCACTTTTATATACAACACTACTAATCAATAATAATGTGATAATTTCTACCTGCCTCTCACCCAGAGGCGCCGGAATATCGATAATTTGTGGGGGGGGGGAGATATTCATATATTCGTGTTCTGCCCAATTAATTTCTTTTGAAATCGATTGTTTTTACAGTCTGTGCACACGAATATATGAATATCTCCCCCCTTAATCTGACCGTAGCAATTTCCGTGACGGGGG